GATCCACCATGAGTTTCTTACCTCATCAATACTTAACTCAAATATTTAACCAATAATGCAAGTAAAGATGTCTGAAACATACTGATATGTCAATCAGGGCTGGCATCAACATGATCAGGATTTATTTATTTATTTATTTATTTATTTATTTCAGGCCCTGGGACCAGGATTTTCACAGTTTGCTGAGCCAGTATTTCAGAGATGCATCAATCTTATCCAATCTCAGCACCTGGCAAAGGTCTGTGAAATCTTTTTTCCCTCTTATATTAAAATACAGTTTCTTTGCTTCTCACATAAGCATAGCTATCTGCAGTATCTTTTTTTAGTTATACTTATGGATTTTAGTTGATTGGTCCACTGATCCTCTCTATTTCAAGTATTCTACCTCCTTAGAATTCAATTTTTTTTAGGTGTGGTATTTATTGATCTTTAGCCTTGTTCAGTTAATCTCCGAGAGGGAGGGATTGGAGGGGATTTAAGGGAAATAATTCTACACCACAATAGCCTCCAAATCCCCCTCAATCCCCTTATGAGAGGGATTAACCGAACAAGGCCTCTTAGTGGAACTGAAACTTGACTGACTATTCTTCAATACAAAACACAATTACACACCTTCTAACAGTAGCATTGCACTGGACATATCCACTTTGATTTGGAGGGCCAGTCAATAACGCTAACGAAATTATTTAGTTGTAGAACTAACTGGGAACTTTCTGTTACAACTGAATCTTAATGATAGGAAAAAATGAGATCATTGCCACTCTAATCTTAAGGATATGATGCTGGATCTTTCCTATCCAAGCAGCTAACTCTATTTTTCTGGCATGTGACTACAGTCCACAGATCGGTTAGCATCAAATGCTTAATGGTCTCCTTCGTTATTTTAGTGGAAGATAAATTAATAGCTGATATCAAGTTGGTTATTTCCAACCCAAGTAATAAACCTATTAATTTGTAGCTGTTTATTACTAATCGGTAAATCTAATAAATAATGCATCTATCATTTTTATGGTCTTGAAACTTGAAAGCCACATTAAAGGTTAAACCACATTAAGGTTGCTTCCCATCACTTACATGCCCTGCAAGAATAATGACTGTACACGTTAATGTAATTATATTTTTACATATTCTATTATGAAAGAACAGACCTAGATCAGATTAGGGATACAATCAAAATATACAGGAATAATGACTGTACACATTAATGTAATTATATTAGTACATATTCTATTATGAAAGAACAGACCTAGATCGGATTAGGGATACAATCAAAATATACAGGAATAATGACTGTACACATTAATGTAATTATATTTTTTACATATTCTATTTTGAAAGAACAAACCTAGAGATAGGATTAGGGATACAATCAAAATAGAAGAATATCAGGAGACAGGACTTGTCACCTTATTGGGGTTGTCGCTGTTCCTCTCAATTCCACAAAAAGTCAATTCAATCGGCATTGATCTTCACTGGAATCTGGATGCTGCTGACTCCATCTGCATCAAAGAAACTTATACGGGATCACTTTTTCTACATGCAGGTTGATCCTGCTGCAGCTGGTGCATTATATGATAAGGAATTCATTGTGTGTGCATTGGATCTGTTGTCAGGACTTGCAGAAGGACTTGGCGCTGGTATTGAAAGCCTGGTAAATTCAACTATATGGCCAATGATATTTCCTTTTTTTTGTTAATTACTCTTTGTTCCCTTACCTATCGACCTCAGTAATCTGTAGGAGATCCATACCTTTTCCAAGCCCTACTCTTTCTTTATGCACATAGATTATGTGACGAATTTCTTGGAATAGAATTACACTAAGGGGTTAGACCATATGAGCGGAGCAGACAAACCAACCTGTTTCATTGGTGCATGACATTAAAGTAGACATTCTGCCTCTGTTAATAAATGATAGTTTTTGGGGTGCACAATGAGTATATCAACAGGGAAGAATGGAGACTGTTTATGGATGTTCCAGGCTGAAGTTTCACAGAAGCTGTTAGACTTGTGGATCCCCATCACCCTTTTCTCTCTAGGAGCTAGTTGCACATGTCTAGCTTGAAGTGATAGACAACATGTGGGTAATATTTGGTCCTTTCCTGTATTGGCTATACTGATTAATAGATGAAAGAAAAGGTAGGGTTACAAATACTAAGACATGCTTCTCCAAAAAAAGAGGATCCAAGTTCTGTAGGTTGTCCATAATATGTTAGAATGTGAGCTGCAATAAGGTACATGTCGGTACATAGTTGAGATGATGGTTATCAAACAAAGTGACTGGGAAATTGGTCTTGACGCTACTAACTATGGTTTAGGCCCTCTTTGTTTATAGGCTTATAAGCCAAAAAGTCTAAGCCTAAACAAACATGTAGCTTTTCCGTTTGGCTTTTTTAAAAGTCAATCGGTTATAAACCATATAAACTGAAAAGTCGGCTTAAAAGCCTAAACCCAACCAAAGAGGGCATTAGTTGAATGAAAACTTGGGGGTTTCAGAAAAGATTGTGCTTCATACTGCCTTTTCTTTATTATTTGTAAGACACTTCAAAGTGTGATGTGTGTAGCTCTTCGATATCTGTGTAAGCCATCTTCATTTTGTTTTAGGTTTCACAAAGCAGTTTGAGAGATATTCTTTTGCAATGTTGTATGGATGAAGCAGCGGATGTTCGACAGAGTGCTCTCGCCCTCCTGGGGGACCTTTCTAGGGTTCGCTGCAGACCACCAAAGTCCACCTTTTATTGTTTTAAGTTGCTTTGTAGCCAATAAAAAAAATAACAACTATTCATGTAGGTTTGCCCTATACATCTGCATCCCCGCCTTCAAGAATTCCTTAATGTTGCTGCGAAGCAACTGGTAAGTATTTTCTATCTGGTATAGTATAACATCTCGGATTCACTCCTCACATTATGTTGTTGCTGCAGAACCCGCAATGTGTGAAGGAGGCTGTGTCAGTGGCTAACAACGCCTGTTGGGCAATTGGAGAATTAGCAATCAAGGTTTTGTACCACTTTTGCAACCCTAGTTTTTTTTATTTCAAAAGATATTGCAACCCTAGATTGATACACATAGATGTTTCCTTTCTTTTCTGAGCAACTAGTACCATACCTGTTTCCCAGGATATACCTTAAACCTTTGTTACTGCTTCTACTGCCAATCACATTTGCCACATGGCAACTTTGACACTAAACTTGGCCAGCAACATGCACTCCTAGTTTATTTCTGTGCCTATGACGTGCTAGTACTCATTGGTATTTTGTAAAATTGTTGTGGGTATGTCTAACTGATTATTCCTTTCCAGATTGGCAAAGAAATTTCACCTGTGGTTATCACTGTTGTTTCTTGCTTGGTGCCTATTTTAAAATCTCCTGAGGTAATTGCATTTTAAGTTGTTCTCATCACGTCTTTTACTCGAGTGAGCATTTCAGCTAAATGCCTCGTGTGTCCTGACATACTATTACAGGGCTTGAATAAGTCACTTCTCGAAAATAGCGCAATCACTCTTGGGAGGCTTTGCTGGGTCTGTCCAGACATTGTGGCCCCCCACATGGACCATTTCATGCAAGCCTGGTGCAATGCCTTGTGCATGTAAGTGTCTGTCCTTTAAGCTCTCTGGTGCCCTTTTATGGATCTAATTTTCGTCATGTACAGGATACGAGATGATTTTGAGAAAGAGGATGCATTCCATGGTCTATGTGCAATGGTACATCCACGCTTTTGCTTACTGTTACAATTTACAAAGCTGTCTGACTTACACAAAATACTGTCATTCTATACTAGGTAGCAGCAAACCCAACTGGAGCTGTGGGTTCACTAACTTTTATCTGCCAGGCCTGTGCAAGTTGGAACGTGAGATTCCTGTCATATTAGACATGCTTTCTGCACCAGTATTCTGCACCGAAGCTCACGATATTTGTTTATACAGGAGATAAAGAGTGAAGGTTTACACAATGAAGTGTGCCAGATTTTGAATGGATACAAGCAGGTATATATTTTTTTTTCTTAGGGCGGGTAAAACGATTCCTCATTGCGGTTCTGTATCGGTACCGTACATGCAACAAACTAACAAAAAACATTTTCCATAGATGCTCGGAAGTGGGGGTTGGGAACAGTGCATGTCCACCCTAGAGCCAGCGGTCGTTCAGAGATTAGGCAGATACGGAGTATGAGGATACCGACGGAATTTGTTTTGGTTGTCTATTCTTTACTATACGTTGGGACGGAAGCAAAGAGAAGAAAGGGAACTCATCGTGCAGCGCCAGTGTGTGATTTTTATGATGTGATGGATTCTGGCCGGTTAGTTTTGTATGCTCCACTGCTAGTGATATATTGGTTCGCACAGGACTGCTGTCTGAGAGCATCATGTGCGTTGTCCTCAGCACAAGTGAGTGGTAAGAAAGAATTACCACGACAGACAGAATGAAGGCTAGTACCTTCCCTTTTGGTTTATTGAGTCGATTGGGTCGAAGAGCTGTGCTTGATTGTAGGTTCTATTGTACTGGTCAGTTCAGTGGACTCGGTTCTGTTTTTTTGTCACTCCACTGGCACTGGCACTGGCACCCCAGCAGCAACATAGAGTTGTTGGAAAGGTTTTGTAGCGTGTATTTTATGGGTCCAAGAGTTTAGGTGTAGGGTCTTCTCTCTTTTATTTTATTTTTTTTCCTTTTGTGCTCGACAGGGTTGTATTGATTCATTCCCCAATAAAAAAAAAGTATTGAACAAACATTGAGACTGAAACAAAAGGAAGATTGAACAAGCTTTGAGCCTGATGTTCAAGGTGAGTTGAGAGGGTATATGGTAAAAGAAAATACTCCTGATCATCCAAGCCTGAGATTCGTAGGCCTATGTAGCGGCATATCGCTTACTCCTAACGTCTGGGTAGTGCGAGTTATGAGCACATTTGTCTTGCTTTGGCTGACCTTCCATTTCCATCCGGCTTCAAGACGAACGCACGCATACATACAGTAGCTAGTGTGTTTTCAAATGGGCTGGGCCGGTGATGTTGCAGTAGCCAGCCCATTATGCTGGGTTGTCCGACCGGAAACCTTATCCCCTACCCGTCCATCAGGCTCAGCTTCTTCTTGAGCTTCCACGGGTGGAGAGGCAGCCAAGGATACGATAGCAAGGAAGAGAGAGCGTTGAAGATGCTGCTGACCACCCCGTTCGTGTCGTCCCCTGTGAGGGTCCAGGGCAATGGGGGCAGCGGCGCCTCGCCGTGGGCGGGCGCGGCGACGGCGCTGAGGATCCAGGCGGCGAAGCAGCTGACGGGGCGTGTGGTGACGACGAAGGCGGACAAGACGGTGGGGGTGGAGGTGGTGCGGCTGGCTCCTCACCCAAAGTACAAGCGGCGGGAGCGCATCAAGAAGAAGTACCAGGCGCACGACCCGGACAACCAGTTCAAGGTCGGCGACGTCGTCGAGCTCCGCCGCTCCCGCCCCATCTCCAAGACCAAGCACTTCCTCGCCGTCCCCCTCCCCCCGCGCGACACCCGCCGCAAGTCCCAGCTCCTCCCGCCTCTCCAGTCCCAGTCCCAGTCCCAAGACCAGGACCAGCCACCCACGCCTCCTCCTTCCTCCGATTGATGGATTTTTCTTCTCCCGTAATCGTAAATTCGTAATGTAATAATCTGTGCTGTACTATGTACTCCATTGATTTTTATTTGCTCTGGATTTCGAACTTCCCCAGCAGCAATGCTATGTTCCCTTTTCATTTCATCTGCTCATATGCATGTTGTTACTCAGTGAAACCATACTACCAATATAATGCTACTAGAGTAGAATGTGCTTGTGTAATTCTGTTATCCTAGCCCCCATCCCATCGAAGAAATTATTTAGGGCTTCTATAGCATCGAAAGACTAAAAGAACTCAATAACCTTCGACTAGTGATACAACACCTCCGAACTACGTTCCCGGTCTTCAGCAAGCTTCCCGGTTTCATTGTGATGGTTCCTAATATGATTCGAGAATTTCAATTTGATATTTGTTTTAAACCATCCGGGAAACTTGTTTATACATGATACTGGTAGAATTCTACTACATAACTGTCCGCTTAAATTAATTATAGAGAAACAAACCCCTTGACCTATGCTGCACGGTCAAGCAACACGAGAAACAGTCAGTCATCGCCTGCTCCTGCTGGGCGTGTTCTTTGTGATGGTTGGAACAACTTGGAAGCGCTCTCTCCCAACACGCACAACGAAATGATGGACTAGTACACTAATTAAGCATTAGTTTAAAAAAACTTAAAAAATTAATATATTCTTTTAAACAATTTTCTTTTATTTTTTTTAAAAAAATATATAATAGTTAAAAAAACATGCACGTGAAAAATAAAAGGCGGTGGTTAGGAAGAGCCTGAATACTTTGCTTGCATCGTCCACCCCAGTCTCCCAAGGCTAATGGAAGCAATTATCTCTTCCTGTGAAGGATCACTGTATTTTGTTTCACTTCCTGATTTTACTTTTACAACGTTATTGAAAGACATTGCATTCTGCAGTTTAGCATTTGTCGTGTTGCCCATCCAAGTACAAATACGAATCAACGTTTTGATTTCCAATGTGCAAGAAACGCATGAACAGCTGCATGTTAAATTGGCAAAAAAATACTTGCCTTGTAACAATCTAAATAGTAGTATTCTTTGGTTCGGAAAAACTTCTCTAGTGTAGTACTACTACTGTAAGTAACTTGCAAGATTTGATGGCCCGGGATGTATCAGGTGTGAGAAAACTAATCTCTGGCTGCAGACCAGCAAAGGAAAATCTCCACTGCAATGCGACGCGCCAGCCCCAGCAGCTGATCAAAATTACCAGGCAGGCAGGAACTGCACCCAGGAAGAGGAAGACTCAAATGAAACATCTGACAAATGATCTGTTGATCACCAGCATTGTGATACTTGTCCTGAAAGTTTGGGACAAAATAGGAAGATCAATTATCTGATGACGAATGCAAATGCTGAAGCGAGGCAGATAAAGATGAGGGAGGCGACTATTTTGGCAAGGTCAAACAAATCAGTAGAGATGGGCAATGCACCGAGATTGTGAAGTGCAAGTGCGTGAGTATAATAGTTACATCTGGTCGGTAATTCTGCCACAGGTATATTAATTATTCTGACCAAACAAAACACTGAGGATGTACTCCATCCGTCCCATTTTAAGTGCAGCCATATTTTTTTTTTACCTAACTTTGATCGTCTGTCTTATTTAAAAATTTTTTTAAAAAAATTAAAAACATAAGTCATACATAAAGTATTATTCATGTTTTATCGTCTCATAACAATAAAAATACTATTAAAATAAGACGGATGATCAAAGTTGTACACAGAAACTCATGGTTGCACTTAAATGAGACGGAGGGAGTAAGAGTTTAGTAGACTTATATTAAATTCTCAAACACTGCACACAGAAAACTAGAAAAGATGCGAGCCTACAGTGGAGTCAGTAATGCATCAAATGACCATTGTAGTATTCAAAAAAGAAGGGAGCTTACTCGATAGCTTGGTATCTGTGCTTGTTTCGAGGACGAAATTGCATTAGTTTCTCCGCTCAGTTTCATTAAACTTTGCAACGCGATCCCCATTAAATAGTCACTCATACAATATCCACTATGGTCCACCATGGTCACTCAAAACAGCTTCAATGGCTGCTAGGTGCAACCATTCATATCTTCCGCAGGGTTAAATGTTAACCATGTTTCTGCAAGTAACCCTTCTGGCCACCATGCAGCTTATACGACCCATCAACAGTGACTGCATACAGCTTAGGTAAATCCCTATCAACATCACTCAGAAAAGGGTCAGTCATGTTCTGCTTTTGTCCAAGTGATCGCGACTCAGGTGCTTCACTCAGTAAAGCAAAAAAATACAGTTTCGCATTGCATCTCAAACATTCATTTTTCATATTGCAGGGATAGATGAGACCATCTATCCATCCCTTGTTATTTCTTGCATGACTATCTGCTCCATTAACCAGCTGCTCAGAGGTAATTGAATCATGAACTGCAGTTGGAAGATACCCTCATTTTTCATATTTCAGTGATAGGCGGGAACATTTGAGTATCTGATGATGCCATCTTGTGTCCCTCAGATTTCTTAGCTTCACTGTATTCAATATAAAATCTAGCTCGACCAGCTCAATTTGATCCATTAACCTGCACCTCTGAGGGAATTGAATCATGAACTGCAGTTGGAAGATGTCTTTCTGTTTTGCAATAAAAGAGCTGTGGTCCGGTAAATTGCATCCGGGAGAATTCATTGCATAGTACTGGACTGCAGAGCAAAGAACGTCAAGATTATCAGGCCAAAAAATGGAGATGGATCAGCTACAGAACGACTATACCAGTCTGCCCACTTGCACAGGCAAGTTGGTTTGGCTTCATTACTTGAGACTTTATACAAATGAAGGAATATCTTTGATGAAACGATTGTCTTTATGACTAAAGAATGATGACAGTATATATTGTCGCTAAAGATTTGTAGGGTGTCATTGAATCGATTGAATTCTAATTGAGGAATAGTGGTTGAACTATTGTTCCATGAATGATTTTACATGGTGTTAAACTACGGTCTCTTGAAAAATGAACATGTGTGGACTATGTATTGAATATTGATACAGATTCAAGTGCCATCCGAAAAGAGGGGAAAAGGGACAAATCAAAGCTACAATGGCATGCTTGTGTGGCATTTTGATCTTCAGAACACAGTCATATAGAAAATAAAAATACGTTAATATAACATTAGCAACAAAAACAAAACATATGCTGGTACTTGGTAATCTTTTGCTATTTTAGATGGGAAACAATTGCCAATACCATTTAGATTGCCACTTATGTTTCAGCAATGCAACTAATTTCCAGATCAAATGGGTATCAGAAGCAACAAATGGTAGGCCTGGATCTCTGTGAGACCACAATTAACAAGATGAAAGTTATGACACTTCAGGGAGCTCCAGTGCAAACCTGATGTAGTGTACTAAGGTTTACATATGCATATCAAGTTCAAACCCCACATTATGTTCTATTTTGCTGATTCTTTTGATGATGGATTGAGGACCTAAAATTAACCCAAATGATACTAAAACAAATTATGGACTGTGGAGATAGCCTAGACTCTGGGGGATTGACCCACCAATAAAATATCAGTTCCAAACTCAATCTTCCAAAAAAGGAACAAACAGAAAAATAAAAAGAAAGAAAGGGGAGGAATATCACAACCAACACAGACACACTCCAAAACTTTCACACGTCTACCCCAAACTCATGCAATGCGATAAATAAAGGTGCCCAAATTTCTAGCAAACAAGTCAATGGGGAATACCTGGAACTGGAAGGATGAGTAGCCTGAACAGTTGCCCAACACAGAGTAACAGCCAGAGACAGCCCAGAAATTCGATTTAAAATAAAATCACACTTCCCCAACAGCTAGCTGGACAATAACATAAATACATAATGCACGAATAAGTTATAGTTATGAGATAAAACATTACTATGTGCACAGCTAGAAAAAACATTTATGTTTGACCATGAAGCCATTATAACGAAAATGGGCTGTATGCATATGCAAAATTCACAAAAAGTTCTGCTTATTTGCACTGAATTTACATCACACATGAAGCTGCTATGAGTGATAGTGAAAGGGAAAGCATTTGAACACAATCCAAGCATTTATGCCCACATGTAGAGCCATGGTAGGAATGTAATTTTTGAAATATATTAATAACTGATTTAGACTACATATATACGGCCTCAAGATATAATCTCTTCATATGGATTTCTCCCAGAGTAGAAGAAAGCACTATGATGGTCTTGACGTTCAACATAAATATAGGACCATGATAGCTATTATGTTTGGGATAGACCCAAGAGATTCTCTATGATAAATTGCAACTGCATCTGTATTATGATTGATTGAGTTAGCACTTTGTATTAGGTGCATTTTAAAGTGCTGTGGTTTAACCTTGCTGACTAAACAACTCAATCATGCAGTCGTAATGCTCCATCCGAGGCGTAATTGATCAAGGAAAATATAAAGCTTTATAATGTTGATGGACCAAACCTTGGCATGATTAAACCATGTTGCAGGACCACATTCATGTTTCAGTGCTCTGAAAGAAGCATTGGTTGCATCCTCAGTATTCAACTCGGCCTCTAACAAGTCAAGATCATGGAGTTCAAGATGCCCGTTTCCTTTCCTGCTAGGCAAACACTTACCATTAGGTAATCCAGAAACATTGTATGCATCCTTGTCCTCTTCTGCATAGTCAAACACCCAGTATTACTACACATAAAAAAAGATGGAAGAAATGCAGAGAAGTCCAAAAATATATAGCAGAGAACGCAAATGTCACCAATGGTAACCGGAAGATAGTTAACCTGATTTGGCAGCTGTAATTCCATCCAATCTTTTAGTTAGCAAGGATGTTCCAGGAAATAACATCAAGTTCACATTACGAAGTTGTTTCTTCTCATTATCTTCAATGGGTTTGAAACCAAATCCTGACACCCATGTATTAACCAACTCTGGGATGGCAGAAAGGACCAATGTCTCAACATGGAATGATCTAAGCATCTGCATTGAATGGAACGAAAATTCACATGGTCAAATCTTGACATGCAAATAAGATTAGATGCTAACAGTTACTGAAGTAGACAAGTATTTTAGAAGAAAAACACATCCTAAAATCTATAGCACAGTTGGAGTCCTATTAATCGAAGTTGTCATGGTGCATTATCATGATAAGTCCATAATTTGCTTAGTACACTTGTATCTCATTTCCAAAGTGTAATGTACCATTTCAATGGTGTCCATAAGTCTTCGGCACATTCCTTGGCGGCGATAATCCACAGAAGTAGCAATAAATGGAAGCTCAGCTGCTTTGGTCCCATGTACTCTGAATAAGATAGAAACAGAAATATCATAACCATCTCTGTATCAGGGAAAAAGAGAAATTTAAAACATATAGTCAAAATAACTGAGGCAAACAACAATCACAATTATTGTCTACTAAATAATTTCCAACAACATTGTTTTCATCCATCGCACTTTGCTGACGTATTCATCATATGAAAATTGGCAATTAGCTCTAGAGGAACAATATCGGTGCACTAGTGATTATATGTTATCTAACCATTCAGGGTTCCAAGATTTTTTTCAATATTAAATCAAAAGAACTACAATGAATGGACATGACATGACTGCAGGTTTCCATGTTAGACATCTCCATTGTAGAAAGTCATCACTGATTAGCTACGCATAACCAGTACGAAGTGGAGAGATAAGTATGCGCTCCTCTAAAAATAATCAACTGCGAGATGCGATTCTTCGGAAAATGTTAAACGTGGATTTTTAACGGAATACGGGAAAGGGGAATAGCATTACAGCGACATTGTTTAACAACATGTGAATGTACAAACTAGCAAAAGAATCATGGATGACAGGTGGGACCGTAGGCATTCCACCTGTTGCAGGTGCCCATATTTCATTTTTGGTACAGAGGTAATGCAAAGTTCATGCACTTTCCCGTTCACATGCATACTCTTAGCAAGTTTTGGATTACATGGAAAACAATGACAACAGTCAATGGCATGAGCATAAGATATCACAAAAATCACCTCGGTTCAAGAATAATACTTCAGGGCAAAGAAGAAAAAAATGTATAGCCCAGAAAAACTAAAAACCGATCAGCAAAGGCATTACCTGATAGATGCTACACATAAAATCTCATCACCTTTCTCCAGGATTACTGTATAGAACCCCTGGTAATCTAAGCGAGCGAAGTTTGATCTGGTGAAATGTGCTCAATGTTAGTAAACTTTACAATGTTCACTAAAATATAAATGGTGCAAGTACTGGTAAATCAATTTTCCAATATAACATGTCAAAAAAAAATTCCAATATAACAGGAAATGGACACATTCATATACTAATTTGATATTACTCATACTGGCAGTTCCATGAGTGGATAAAAGGTTTCAGTAATCGTCTGAGATAAATAAAAGCTTCCTTTATCTAAAAAGAATTAGTGGATATAAGGTTTCAGTACAGGCTTGTCTCTCCAGTATGGCATGATATCAACTGTGTAGATTAGCATGCAAAAGCAATGTGCAATACCCCAATACTTCCATTTTGAACTGCTGAATAGGCAATGTAATCTTTCAATGGACTAATGCAGAAACGTTGCATCTTTAATTCACATAAAAAGGATAAAAGGCAGTGAAAATGCAGTGACCAAACTGGGTTTTCTTGTCTTGGCCCTCTTGTTCATTACTTCATTTGATATGATGATAGTCAGATATCCATTTTTTACAAGACAGAGAATTGAAAGCATGCCATACGTTGGGAGAACGCATGTTCAATTGTCCCTATAGATGCATATAACTCTCGCCAATTACTATCTTAGCTTACTACTGGGAAAAATGATAATAGGTAGAGAGTAAATAAGAAACTTGCCCCTTATTGTACAAGACATGCGGTATCATGTCTACACCAGTTCTAGGATCCACCATGCGAACAAAACATTCCTCCAATATAGTAAGAGCCACAGCTAATTTTGTATTGCATTCTGTCATATGCGCAATCTTCTTGGAAGAATGTAGCTTCTGCCCATCAGTGTTGCACTTCAATATGCTCCATGAAAGCTCGTTGTCAAGAAAATTCTCTATTCCAACGTGATTGTGTAATCCAATAAATATCTGTTACCAATAACAACACAAAAATGTTTAGTGAGGAAATATTGAATAGTAAGAAAACAACATTCAAAACCAGTTTCCAAGAAATATCTAAAACTAAAATCTGCATTTTCTAAGGTATGCGAAGGTAGAGTGAATTTGTAGTGACATGAAAGAAAAACTAGGTTTGATTCTTTGTGGCCATAGATCTGCACCTAAAGTTTTTCTTTTCCAAGCATTAGGAACAATATATGCAACACATGCTAAAATTCTACTGTTTAGTGGTTTGATTCTGGTGGAGCACATGAGGTAGATGAAACTATTGTGTATAACAAAGAATGCAGAGCCAGAACTGAACTAGGCTTAGTGACTAACTAAATAATCTTCCACTGCAGCATCTTATAAATAAAAAACATTACCTCTTTACAGTATCTCCCACAAAACCATATGTTGGATTGTTTATCCCCACAGGGGAGCATCTCCTGGTCAATGCAAGTATCATGGTCTGCCAGCAAAAAAACAAGAATGCATCAAACGAAGTTAAATACAAAAATTGAAAGATCAAATTCATCTGCTGTACATTATAAATAATGGCCAAAATTAAATGGCTACTAGAAGCTTAAGCACTCTCAAATAGGGTGCAGCTAAAGTGCTAGATGGGCTCTTGGATGCATAAGCCCTAATTATACATAGAAGATGGACTCTCTAAAGCAACTTCAGTGAAAATGAACATATAATACCAAAATACCCATCCAAATTACGGTAATTGAAAGTGTTTTAGTACCAATCTTGTGGAATACACACTAACTGACTACCACAGCAGCACAGCCCAACAATCGCAGAAGAATGTAAAAGGACAAGACAAAACAGGAGGGATCATAATTATTACATGAATCTCCACACTGCAAACATTTCAAGATAGCCGAGAATGTTGAAACCTCCTTTTCACTAAGTGGATTCCCACAACTCCGGCATGTGCAGTTATGGCAGTACCAACTGCCTTCTGGAAGTTCCTGAAATGCAACAGGAAGGAAATAATTTATGAAACAGATCGGTTTAATTTTCTGGAACAAAGTGGTACAATGTGTACTCTAACTGAAACATGAAGGGGAGTTATTGAATATACAAACAATGACACAGTAGAGAAGCTAGATACCTGGTCAGACAAACAAGTTTGATGATATGTTGATGGGCAATTGTCGCAGCAAAGTAATTCACCACCATCTCCACAGAAACCACACGTATCATCATTTTCATCCATCGCCTCAACTTTTCTACCAGATGCATCACATTTCCTACTTAGAAATTCAGCAGACCAAGCTTCTACCTGGCATAGAGTGTACGATTTGCCAGACTGTAGAAAGAGGCCCAATGAGGACTTTGGTAAACTGCAACCGCCATGAACCTTGAAGTCTGATATAGAAAAGGTCTTGGTGCAACAATTGCACAGAATGCCTTCCCAGGTAACCTGCCCATCCTTAACAACTTCGTTGCTCTTCAGATTCTGGTACTGTATAACATCTTTTACGGTCAGAAAGCCAGTGGCAATCAACCAGCAGAGAACTGTTTTCCGTGCCAAACTTACTCTCTTCCCACCCAACAGATTTGATCCTCCTTTTCCGGACATTCGAGCAAGTAGCCTGCCACATTTCTTTGAGCTCTTAAACTTTGTAAACTTCTTTGCATCCAAAAAAATGGAGTCTGCAGCAAATTTGTGGCAGGAGCCAAGATCCCTATTTTTCACCATAGCTGTGATCAAAAGATCATCGTCATTGATACGTAACACACGGGGCCTTTTCTTGGCATACTTCTCCCAAGCTTGAGGTTTTCTTTTAGCAGCAACTGCCTTGCACGTCGGTGACTCCTGAGATAAATCAGTTTTCAGGACAGCAGCATTAGATTCGTAGGATAGGTTAACAGGAACAGAGTTGACCGTTGGAAGATTATGTACATCCTTGGGGAAAATTCCAATGGATGATTCCTTCAGCGACAGCAACTTCTTCTCTTCATTTCCTATGGGGATGAACTTGCTGGAACCTGATTCCGTTGGAGTAGAACCATTTTCTGGGAGTATGTTGAATCCTGCAGGTTGCTCAACAGTCTCCTCGCCCTGTAATATGCTGGTTTGCATGACTTCTGAAGGCAAGAGCACGTCGAGCTTGTTGCTTTGGTTGTTTGCATTTAGCTTTGCTAATTTGGATTCAGCTTTCAAGTGCCTTTTCGATGTGCCAACAGATGAACAGATACCATGTTCCTCAGAGCGCATATTGTTTTCTGCAAAAGACAATTCCACACTTGCTAGTTCGGTTTCTTGGTTTAACACAATTTCCACAGCAGGCTGCATAAAACTTTCAGAATGCAGTCCATCTAGTCCAGTTGAATCAATATCTGATATCCTTTTGGATTTCTTCTTAGTCTTTTTCACTGCGCTATTAATAAGTGTTGCTCCAGACCAAAGTTCCCTTTGTCCATTACTTTCAGAAATGGGATTTTCTGTTCTTTGACTTGTGTCACCTGCCGCGCAATACAGCTGGCTCTGTGTGCAGAGAGTACTCAGGTTAGTATCCCCGTTGTGGCCATCCTCCAAGTCATGGCAGCTCTGTAAAGCATGATTCCCGTTGCCACTCTCAGTTGCTAGTGTGCTACAATCAGAGTCCGTGATCACTGGAGTAGGTTGAATCATGCGAGTGGGCAACAAATCACTGGATTTCAGCATGCTCTTACTTTCTGAGGGGACATTCCTGCTGTCATTGAGAACATAGGTCGAACTATCAACAGCTCTAAGAGTTTTATGTTGTTGCAGAGCAGTAATTTTCCTACCAATGAACACAACAGCTATGAAAGGATCCAAAAGCTCCCACCGATGAAGAAGAGTGGGTGCATCTTGGCGGTTCACGAGCATCTTATCGACATAAGCCATTGTATCTGTGAGGTCCTTCCAAAATGTATCGACATCTGACCACTCCTTAGGACACTTTCCGCGTTGTGAACACGGGGTAGCTTCATACAATTTCTTGCCACAGAACTTCCAAGCCTGAGTTAGAGAGGTATGAACAACCTCCCTGTGTGGTGCAGTGAAATAGGATGCCATCTTAGCCCTGTCATTCCTTTTCCGTGGCTTGATGGTCCAGCCGGCATCCATGAAAAGGTGCTGAGCATGTACCTCCAGCTGATCAGGGAGTTCCCTGCTTAAATTCCTCTTGGAAGCAACAGCAGTAGTGCCGTAGTGTTGAGTGTTGTCAGCAGCGACATCAGCAGCATCATCAAGCGAACCAATACTTGCGCCTGGCGTACCAAAATTCTGACAGAGGTTGTCAAGTTGGACAAAGTGAGCAGAAGCAGTAGAGTCGCGGGACAGGTGAGGCAGAAGCGTAGTATCATAGACTGTGTTGCTGTAGAGTGAGAAGTGGTCTGGTCCTGTGACAGACAGATCTGGTGTAGTAGCTGAATATAGAGTATGGCTAGTGGTGTCAAGCATTTGGGGTTGATCATAGGTGAAGGACATATCAGTGGGGAAGTGGTTGTTATCTTGGAGCCACTGATTCAAGAAGGGATCGGAAAGAAGAGCGTCATTGTGGAAATCAGAGAAGTCTGCTAGTGCCTCCATATAGGAAGGCAAAGGATCTTCGACTCCACTGTTGCTGCTGCTGGCAGCCAAGGCGGTGCACATTCCAGCAGCAGCAGGAGGGGGAGGAGGAGGAGGTCCAGCGGAGTGTTGCGGCGGCGTTGGTTGCATCATGTCATGGAAGAGGTCAGCGTCGGTTACACTTAGAGAGCTGCCTCCGCCTTGCCAGTAAGCAACGAAGCCCTGCAATGCGGCGTCCAACTCGAGGCCTCCATTCCCATTCCCATTCCCATTCCCATGTAGCACGGGGCCGTGAGAATGTTTGGGATCGATGGCGGCGGCGTCGACCTCCACGGGCGCGGGTTGAGGCTGCAGCGCGTGCAGGTGGTGGTGGAGTGAAGGCGCAGGCGCAGGCGGAGGCGGAGGCGCAGGCGCAGCAGCAGCAGCAGTGGGGAGCAGGGATGAAGTCTCGGCCACATGAAGAAGAGGTGGAGACGGAGAGAAGACGTCCCTGAAGACCTGGACCTCGGGTTGCGACCTGTCGAAGGAGGAGGCTGCGGCGGAGTGGTGCATGGCGAGGAGATCCTCGCCGAAGAGGAACCTGAGGGCGTCCTCCTCCCTGAACCCTAGCTTGTGGGCGGCGGCCATCTGCGGTGGCAGGTAATTTAGCTGCAGATCCAGATGAGCAGATGAGCAGGCGGCGACGGAGAGATGCGGATGCAGATGCAGATGCAGTGGGATACTCACTCACCTGGATGAAATCGGGATTCCAGTTCCCCAATTGGCCGGGAGGGGATGGGATGGATGCAGCCGGCCGGCGGAACCCTTCCCTTGCAGCAAGCTTAGAGTGGAGGAGGGAGCCCCAGCCCCGGCGGTTGCGGCTGACGGCGAGCTCGGGGGGGTGGGGTGGCGGCGCCCGGCGCCCCGTCGGCGAGTAGAGAAACACTAGTAGTGAGCAGAGCAGAGCTCCCCCGCGCCGCTTCTCTTCTCTTCTCTCACACCTCTTCTCTTCACTTGGACTTGGGGACAATTCCTCCCTGATTCGCTCACAGCTCACTCCTCTCTCACTTTACTATTTTTTAAAAATAAATCTATATCCTCCTAAAGATAAGCAAAAGAAGAAGAAAATTCTATATTCCTCAAAATGTGTGATTGGATGACGATATGAGGTCAAATTTTGAATTTCGCTTTTGCGCTCCAAACCTACCAATTTGCCCTCATTTTCAGTACTACTACTAGTTGCATAGCAGTACTACTTGCACATGAGCTGCTTATTGGGTTTGACCTGAGTTTAGGCCATCATCTAAAGTGGGGATCGCATTCCCTAGATGGATTTATCGCAGCACATTTTCTTAAGTACATAAACTTTATACGGACAATAATGTCTTTCCAATGATTCGTAGTAGTACGACATGTCCAATCTGATATTTTATTATGTTTTAAGATGGAGCGAGTAATACTTCTAGTACTGTATAATATTACAGTAGTACTTTTCAAGTTAACTTTACATTTAGCTTTTTTAAAAAAAGAAACTTAGCATTTGAGAAGTTATTTATGGTTGGAATTTTAAAATTTTGATATAATTTTATTCAAAATGTCAAATATTTATGACTAAAGGATGTAAGCAAAATGAGTGGATTTATACACAAGTGCAGTTACTCCATTTGGAATAGTAGCTAAGGCTATGTTCGCAAGCGTAGATTCCTAACCTCCACTCTCTCATTTTCCACACGCATACTTTCCGAACTACTAAATGGTGTTTGTTTTGCCAGAATTTTCTATAAGAAAGTTCTTTTGTAAAAAAAATCGTATTAATCCATTTCTCAGTTTTTTTAGCTAATATTTAATTAATCATGTGCAAATAAGTAACCCTGATTTCCGTGCACGAGAGAAATGTTCCTAACCTCTCCTCTAAACACAACCTAAGGAACCAAATCACTCGTATATTGGAATAAGTCTATTCCGTCTCCCTTGTTTCTTGCATTGAATCATCTCCCTCAATTGTAAAACCGGGGTATAGTGTCTCCCCGTCTTCAAAAAACGGTACAAATACTTCTTCCGTGGGTTGGGAAGTGGTTTATGCTAACGTGGCAGGTTGAATAAATATGGTTGTCTCACTAAGTTAGCAAGTGAGACCTACGTGGGCGGCGGTGGACATCACAGCGATGGAATCCAAATATTCATCACGCACCTCCATGCCTTGTTCGAGCGACTCGGACCAAGTTATCCCGACAACTAGTCACATGCGCACTACACAACACATCAATGTGGCTGCGTGGCAGAGACACATTCAACTCTGACTTCGACAACATGAGCTCCTCCTCCCCTTGCCCACACTACCCTTACTCCGTTGTGTCGGTGTCGTGGCCCCGTGCACCGCTCCTCAGTAGCCTTGTGGTCAAGCTGCTGCCACAACCGCAAAACATCGCCGCATTGGCTAGAGGAGGACCACAACGTCACCCACGGGCTGAAGCATCAGCGCGATCCCTCGCCCGCCGCTCACGGTAACCCTGGCCTCCAGGGTTCACGTGGCCAGGAGTTGCGCCAGACGTCGTCGCTGCCACACACGACACCAAGGTGCATGTGGTGACAGAACATCCCCTTATTGCCCTCGCCTTCATCCTCCCCACCCCTCTCCCTTGCCTCTCCTCTCCTCCTCGTCAACCACGAATTGTTGTTGCCTTGCTCTACCACTGCTCGTAGTCGTCTGGCCCTCTCTCTGTCTCTCGTCGGTAAGATAGATGGAGAAGAAAAACGGGAAGAGAGTAAGGGGAGGGAAGTAGAGAGAATGACATGTTGACCCTACTAATTTTTTTCCCAAGAGATTTGCATGTGAGTCTCCAACATGTGGGTCCCCCTGCTGACTCAACGAGTTAACCATGGTCAACCTTTCACGTCAGCAAAAACCAACCATAGAATGATTCGTTTTGCACCGAGCTTCAAAGATGGACGTTATAACCAAATTTTACGGTTGAGGGCTTGAAAGAGAGGAGGGAGGCAATATAGACTTATTTACTACTACTTAGTATGTATGTTTGTCTCTGAAAGCTGTCTCTCAGATTTATGCAGGCCTTACGGCCAGTTTAGAGAAGGCCATGCTCAGCAATCCAAAGCATGCTGGCAGGCAGGCATGCCCACATATTAAAGCCTAAGATGATTCACGTTGGGCCGGATTGGACTTTCACTGGGTTAGGCCATTTATGGAATTCTCACCACATACTTCGCCACACAGTACTTCTCTAGAAGGAAAGAAGTCTATTCCATATCCCCCAACTGTGATCCGAGTTTTATTAACATTCCTTAACCTCGTGGGTGGTTTTCTATGGTGATTTCGTGCTATATGGTGCTTACATGGCTCTTTGACTCAGTTTTTCATAATATACATATTTTAAAAAAGATAGAAATAGACGTGACACACATGTAAGCCAGAGAAAAAAAAACTGAAAAAACAGTGAGACCTATATATCATCTTCCCTCTCCTCTTTTCTCTTCCTCTCCATGGAACCCATGTGTCATGCTCGCCAAGGTAATTTGTTAGGGTCATCTAAGAGCATCTTCAACATACTATAAAAAAAACTCTCCAATATAGCTAACTCTCCATCTGATTTGTCAAGTCAGACTCGTTACTTACTCCAACATACTTTCCATCTACACTCTCTATTATAAGTCTATGACAGTGGGACCCGTGTGTCAGCCTCAAATACCCCTTATTCTTCCTCCTCTTTTCTCCCCCTTTTCCTCGAGCCATGTGAGGTAACGATGGCGACGAACAGCGAAGGCGACAATGGATTTGTACGTGCGTGAGGTGACGACGGAGCCCTACCGCACCGGCCTCTTTACCGCCTCGTCTCCCATCTCGCTGGCGCCGCCGCTCCTTCACGCCGCCTCGTCTCCCTTCTCCCACCTCGATACCGCTATCGCCACTCGTCCATTCTCCTCTCTCTCTCTCTCTCTCTCTCTCACACACGCACACACACTCAAGTAGCCATTTAAGTAGAGAGGCTTTTTGAGGTGCTCTAACTTCTGTGCGTCTGCTAGTCAACGGGTATGGAGGTGTTGGTAGCTGTCGACCGTCGTGACTGCGCCGCTGGAAGGAGGCATCGTCCGCAGGTACCTCCACGTAATTGGAATATTATGTATCTATAAGTTATTTCCTAATAAGTATAGTTAATGTTAATTATCTTTTCTCTCGTAAAGACATCATCTCAATTGTTTCTAGTTTTGGATGATTCATCAATGGTGAAAAATGTACCACACCATGCAAACCATATCATTCAGATAATTGATCAAGATAAAATATACTCCATAATGCTATATATCTATAAAGTTCATCCTTGCCAAGTGAAGTTAGTGATAATTATCTCTTCTCTCAAGAAGTCATGTCATCTTAATTGTTTTTAGCCTTTGATGATTTATCAAGTATGCAAATTGCATATGTTCTCCCTAAAAACGCACCATACAACACAACCATTTATAACTTGTAGATAATTTATCAAGATACAAAATATATAAACACGTGAAAGCAAATCATAATCATATAATAAGTAAAAAAATTATAATTCATATATACCATTTATAACCTTCAGATAATTTATCAAGGTGCAAAAATATATAAACACATGAAAAAAAATCGTATAGTACCTAAGAAAAAAATTATAATTCATATATAGTTCTCCTACAGCTAACATACGATGTATTAGTACCTAACTAGTTTGATAAGCGGATGTTAATTTGCTGGGCAATCGTGAGGTTTGGAGAAGTGAAAGAGCGAAGTCGTTTGTTTATCTGATTTGGAATTGTGTTGTACTAGTCGGTTAGTTAAGACTTGAGGGGGAGAGAGAGAGAGAGAGGGGGGGGGGGGGGGGGGGGGGGGAGGCAGGTCGGCAATTAGAACGTCAACGTCGAGGAATCGCTGGATTGCGCTGCGCGGTGTGCAGCAGTTAGGTAGCTAGTCATGCATGCGTGCCTTTTTTTTAGTAATACTACTGGAGTCGTAGTAGCAGCAGGTTGATTCTCTGAATGTTCTAGTATACTCTTTCTTATCGTGTCGTGCTGCTTTCCAAAGCTACCCGTGCTCGCAAAAGTATCAGTAGGAATGAATGAAAATAAGCAAGTTTGGGAGATTGATGCAAATGAAAACATGACATCGTCTGATCATGCCTTCCATGCGTGATCTATCTATCTTATCTTGAAGTATACATATGTATAGAGAAGAAAGAGATAAAATTTGATCCAATCATGCATGCGTTTGGTGGAACGGAAGGGAAGGGAATGGAATGGAAGAAAAGGAGGACTAGTAAACCTTTTACTATTCCATGACCATTACTCCATGGTCTAGAACCAAGGGAGGGAGCGTGCGCTGTGGAAAAGGGGCCTCTTTGGTTCGAAAAAACCCCCCCGACCCGATCGATTCTGCCGACGAAAAGATGAAAAGTAGAAGTAGAGTTTGTTACCGGTGTGTGTGTGGCGTCACTCCATCGTTTTCCCCTGGGCGGGGTGGCCTGTTGTTATTAGCGTATAGTAGTAATAAATAAACGATTTTGCTATATCTCACTCGAAAGATTTTTTCTTATCTCTCACTCGATTTTCTCACTCAAATTTACAGTGCATTTTCTTGTAAGTTACAGTGTAATTTATGAAACTTACACTGTAACTTTTGTAAGTTACACTGTAATTTTTAAATCTTCACATGTAAATTTTAAATTTTGTATTGGATTTGGTCTTTTTCTTGAGGATATGGTAATTTAATGTTTATTATGGTGTTTCTTAATTGCTTTTTGCTTTTTATTATATCTATCGGATTTTAATACAAAGATTAAAAATCTGTGTGATACGATTATAAAAATCTTTCGAAAGATGTATAGGTACTCCCATAAATAAATAAGAAAAGGAGTACAAGTACAGTAATGGCTAGCAATCAATTAGATAGAGGCCCTTAGCTTCCTCCTTGATTATGTTTTGGAGTATTATTGGGGATGGATGGAGATCATGTCCACCGCCAAACAGAGTGTTGGAAGGTGCCGCTCTGCCCTGTTGATATGCTCTCCCACGCCGCCCATCCCTCTCCAATTCCTCCTGCTATTAGACCACAACATTCCAGCAGAAGCAGATGAGGGAATAGCACTAGAGTAGAGAGCAAGCAGAGAGGCAGCATGAAGGTGGGCGTGGAGATATTGGACGCGTCGGAGCTTGCGCCCAAGGACGGCGCCGGCGCCTGCAACGCGTTCGTAGAGGTGGAGTTCGACGGGCAGAAGCAGCGCACCCCGACCAAGCCCGCCGATCGTTCCCCGCAATGGAACCACACCCTCGTGTTCGACGTCCGCGACCCCTCCCGCCTCCCCTCCCTCCCCGTCGACGTCTCCGTCCACCACGATCGCAGCCTCACCGACCACCACGCCACCCGCCTCCACACCTTCCTCGGCCGCGTCCGCATCTCCGCTGCCTCCCTCGCCCCCTCCCCGCAGGACGCCCTCCTCCAGCGCTACCCGCTCGAGAAGCGCGGCCTCTTCTCCCGCGTCTCCGGCGACATCGCCCTCCGACTCTACCTCATCGCCAACGACTCCCCTGATCCTCCTCCTGCTCCCGCTGTCCACCACCACCAGCACCAGCCTCCCCAGTCCGTCTCCGCCGAGCAACCCGACAGCAGGCCTCCTCCCGCCTTTCCCCATGGAGAGGCGCAGGCGCAGGCGCAGCCACCGCCCCCGGAGTCGGAGTCCAAGGGCAAGACCACCCACGACCACGAGCCTCCTCGTGTGTTCCGCTCCGTCCCCGTCCAAGCCCCCGCCCCCGCCGCCTCTCAACCCAGGCGTGCCACGCTCCACGCGGTGGCCGCGCCGCCACCGCCGCCAGGCCAGACCGTGATCATGCCGCGCCCTCCCGGCCCCGCCCCCGGGCCGCCCCCCTCGGCGTTCGGCCTGGTGGAGACCAAGCCGCCGCTGCCGGCCAAGATGGGCCCACGCGCCGCGGTGGCCGCCGCGGCCAAGATCGCCTCCACCTACGACATGGTGGAGCCCATGTCGTACCTGTACGTGAGCGTGGTCAAGGCGCGCGACCTCCCCAACATGGACATCACCGGCGCGCTCGACCCCTACGTCGAGGTCAGGCTCGGCAACTTCAAGGGCGTCACCCGCCACCTCGAGAAGAACCCCAACCCGGTGTGGCGCCAGGTCTTCGCCTTCTCCCGCGATCACCTGCAGTCCAGCCAGCTTGAGGTGGTCGTCAAGGACAAGGACGTCCTCAAGGACGACTTCGTCGGCCGCGTTGTCTTCGACATGACCGACATCCCCAACCGCGTCCCGCCCGACAGCCCCCTCGCCCCGCAGTGGTACCGCCTCGCCGACCGCTCCGGCGAGAAGATTCGCCACGGCGAGATCATGCTCGCCGTCTGGAACGGCACGCAGGCCGACGAGGCGTTCCCGGAGGCCTGGCACTCGGACGCCCACTCCGTCTCCCTTGACAGCCTCGCCAGCACGCGCTCCAAGGTGTACTACTCCCCCAAGCTCATCTACCTCAAGGTGGTGGCCATCGCGGCGCAAGACCTCATCCCCGCCGAGAAGGGCCGCCCGCTGGCACCGTCCATCGTCAAGATACAGCTGGGCGGGCAGACGCGGCGGACGCGGTCGCAGGGGTCGGCCAACCCGATGTGGAACGAGGAGTTCCTGTTCGTGGCCGCGGAGCCGTTCGACGAGCCGCTGGTGGTGACGGTGGAGGAGCGCGTGGCGGCGGGGCGGGACGAGCCGGTGGGGCGCGTGATCATCCCGGTGGCGGCGCCCTACGTGCCTCGCAACGACCTGGCCAAGTCGATCGAGGCCAAGTGGTTCAGCCTGTCGCGGGCGCTGACGGCGGACGAGGCCGCGGCGGCGGAGGCGACGAAGCTCAAGTCGTCGTTCGCGAGCAAGATCCACCTGCGGCTGAGCCTGGAGACGGCGTACCACGTGTTGGACGAGTCGACGCACTACAGCAGCGACCTGCAGCCGGCGGCGAAGAAGCTGAGGAAGAGCCCGATCGGGATCCTGGAGCTGGGCATCCTCGGGGCGCGGAACCTGGCGGGCGGGAAGAGCCCCTACTGCGTGGCCAAGTACGGGGCGAAGTGGGTGCGGACGCGGACGCTGGTGGGGACGGCGGCGCCCCGGTGGAACGAGCAGTACACGTGGGAGGTGTTCGACCTGTGCACGGTGGTGACGGTGGCGGTGTTCGACAACTGCCACCTGACGGGGGGCGGGGACGCCAAGGACCAGCGGATCGGCAAGGTGCGGGTGCGGCTGTCGACGCTGGAGACGGAGCGCGTGTACACCCACTTCTACCCGCTGATGACGCTGACGCCGGGGGGCCTGAAGAAGACCGGGGAGCTCCACCTGGCGGTGCGGTTCACGTGCACGGCGTGGGCCAACATGCTGGCCATGTACGGGAAGCCGCTGCTGCCCAAGATGCACTACACCCACCCCATCTCGGTGCTGCAGATGGACTACCTGCGGTTCCAGGCGATGCAGATGGTGGCGGCGCGGCTGGGTCGCGCGGAGCCCCCGCTGCACCGTGAGGTGGTGGAGTACATGCTGGACGTGGACTCCCACATGTTCAGCCTGCGTCGGAGCAAGGCCAACTTCAAGCGGATGACGTCGCTCTTCTCCGGGGCGGTGGCGGTGGCGCGGTGGATGGATGGGATCTGCAAGTGGAAGAACCCGGTGACCACCATCCTGGTGCACGTGCTGTTCCTCATCCTGGTGTGCTACCCGGAGCTGATCCTCCCCACCGTCTTCCTCTACCTGTTCGTCATCGGGGTGTGGAACTACCGGAGGCGGCCGCGGAAGCCGGCGCACATGGACACGGCGCTGTCGCACGCGGAGGCGGAGCAGGTGCACCCGGACGAGCTGGACGAGGAGTTCGACACGTTCCCCACCAGCAAGCCCGGGGACGTGGTGCGGATGAGGTACGACCGGCTGCGGAGCGTGGCCGGGAGGGTGCAGACGGTGGTGGGTGACCTGGCCACGCAGGGGGAGCGCGCCCAGGCGCTGCTCAGCTGGCGCGACCCCCGTGCCACCTCCATCTTCGTCCTGCTCTCGCTCATCATCGCGGTGGTGCTCTACGTCACGCCGTTCCAGGTGGTGGCGGTGGTGGTGGGGCTGTACCTCCTCCGCCATCCGCGCTTCCGCAGCAAGCAGCCGTCCGTCCCCTTCAACTTCTACAAGCGACTACCCGCCAAGTCCGACGTCCTCCTCTGAACACAACTACTACCGTACCTACCCATTCCGTTCCCTTCCGTCCGTCCGTCCGTCCTTGCCAATTCACTCGTCATCTGGACCAAGTACGTGCAGCAGAAGCATCATAACATACGGGGAGTTTTTACCCGTCCTCTACTCTCAAAATTCACAAGGCGCGCGCGCGAGGTCCAGTCCAGTCCCGGGCGGTGGTAGACGCAGACGCAGACAGGCAGCCATCCGCCCGGCGAGCCAACGCAATCATTCGCGCTCAAATAATGCGCGCAAGAGAAGAAGAACAACTAATAAGTCTGGAAGGAGCAAAGTTGGTTGTTGCTACATTCTTTTCGTTCGCCCACCATTCTTTTCTCTTTTTTTTCTTGATGAGATTCCTATCTTGCTGCCCGCCTGCAGTTTCTTCTGCCTTTCCTCTTTTCCTTCTCTTTTCTTTCATTCCGTGCCTGTGGAATGTGCGTGTATATTCTCATCTATCCCTTTGGTCGTCTCTGTGGAGAAATTGAACATTCTGCCACTGCCACTGTGTGTACCATGACATATCTCTCCATATATACTAGTAGTACATACGTGTAGTACTAGCATCATACTACAAGAATAATTTTGTCTTTATTAATAAAGTTCTACCTGTAATGGTATTGCTCTACTCTAACGACTCATTCTATAAATAAACCACTTGTGTGGCGTACGTGGTACCAAAAATGCACTTGTGTATCCTATGTTCTTGTTCCAACTGCTTCACGCGTGCTTCTATTCTATTCTACTCCTATGCGCCATACTTTTCTTTCCTCTCCCTCACAAAAGTACCTACACTAATGCACAGCAAGTCAATTAATTAGCTAGCTACACCATATTTTCTCTCTTCAAACATGCCACTGGCTCATGCTTCTTAGAGCAGATAGAATAGCAGGCTATAAGCCAACTGCAAATATATTTTAATGAGATAAATAATGAGAGAGAAAAGTAGCAGGCTACAGATTTGTAGCCAGCTATAGCACGGACTCTAAAACTTAGTGTGTGTATGACAGGTGGGATCATATATTAATAGTGTAGTATGTAACTATTGTATGGATAAGCTATTAGATTGTTTATAAATGAATTGGAGCTAGTAGTTGGCTATACTATTAAACTATTAAACTTGCTCTTATTACTCCTACTATTTTTTTTGGATCTTCGAAAAGCGTTCAATCCATGTCTATAGGAAAACATGCACAGCTCTTGTTTACTTCGCTCTTCCTATTTGCTACCACGGTTGGTCGAGGCAAATAAGTAAGCTAATTATACATTGATGCTCTTTGTAGCTAGAAATGATACTCCTCTGTTTTAAAATATGTGACACAGTTACTTTTTAGTACGTGTTTGACCATTCGTCTTATTAAAAAAAATTAAGTAATTATTTTTTTTTCATATCATTTGATTCATTGTTAAATATACTTTCATGTATACATATAGTTTTACATATTTCATAATTTTTTAATAAGACGAACGGTCAAATATGAGCTAAAAATTCAACGGTGTCAAATATTTTGAAACGGAGGGAGTAATATTTTCGAATGGATGAAGTACATGATACATTGAGGCAAATAAGTAGTAGTAATCCACCTCGATTTGGAGTTCCCTTTTTAGGCAAAATTTGAATCTTTTTTAAACACACTCGATCTGAAGTGATTGCTCGATCAACGATCGGTTGAAAACACGAGTCCTGAGCTAGTAGTGATCTTCTATAGCTTGGATGGAGGGGAGTTGCTCCCATCTTATTAATTCCTGTGCACATCCATCCATTATTACATAGGAGTATGATGCATTTACAGGACCATCGATCGCGATATCAATTCTGCGATCAAGCACGCACACACTTAGTGCTGATGCGATGGTTTGAAAACTGTTGGCTTAGCATTAGCTAGCATATCCTGTCGGTCACCAAAATATGTAGTATATATATGTATTAAAAAATAATTTGATCATCGTGCTGTATATTATTACGAACATATTTTTCATGTGTTCAATATGAACAAAGGAAAAATATTATTTAAAAATTTGTAAATTTGAATTGAAGTATTAGAAACGGCAATTTATATTTCGCCAGGTATGGGTTAATTAGCATATATAGCCTCCACCTTCAGGCCCACTGGTGGAGAAATCATCTTTCGTTGGTCGGCCGAATTCTACAATAATCCCGGTTGCAATAAAAACCAGAGCTAAAGATGATCTTTAGTCCCGATTAAAAAGGGTAACGGGCATAACCGGGACTAAAGATCATCTTTAGTCCCGGTTCAAATGCTGTTAGGGCCTGTCAGTGAAATACATGTACGAACTCAGTAAACCGCTTGTCAAGCCTAAGCAGCTGTAGTCCCTACCCACACAAATGTACAAGTTCCATCAACTGTACATGGAGATGAGCGCCACCGGTAGAGAGATGATCGGAGTGAGGATCAGGGACACGGACTTCTTGCAAGGAGATGACATTCTCTGGATCAATTTCAAGGGTATCTACGAACTATACCAGCTGGATGCCCTCGACGTCTCTATTATGAGTTACTGGATATTGTAAGTATCGTTCAGTTAGATTTCTTATTACGTTTCCTTTAATTAATTAGGTCATTGTATATAAGTAGAATATATATAATATATACTTCCTTTTATCGTTGTAGAATGGAGATTCAAAGGGCCCGACGGTGGGGGGTTTTCGATACTGGATTCATCGACCCTCGGAAAGTAAACGTCGCAATGCTCGACCAGTATCCGCAAGCCACAGAGGACAATCTCGTCCATCTCCTGAAGGCGCAGCATTACAAGACGTTCATACTATTGCCGTACAACACAGAGTTAGTTTTTACTGTCTTCCTATAACAAATTTCATTCCTGTACGAACATGCTAAGTGTTTCATATGTAATGCATCCCACGCACATTGCAGATTCCACTAGGTCCTTTTACTCTTCGACCTGGAGGCCTGCACCGTCAACGTATATGACTCAATGGATAAAAAAGAGTCTACGTTTGACAAGGTTTTCGAACTTATAGACATGTACTGTCATAAGTTCCTATGTTAATTAAGAATCTTGTTATAATTAATTGCTACTACGAATCATAGCTTTAAACTCCATGTAGGGCTTGGTATCGGTTCCATCATTTGGTCCGCGGCAAATGGAGAGAAAGACTTAGGCGGAAGTTCAATTTTCCTGTGAGTACACATGCTCTACATTTATATTCAATTTCCAATTCAAATACATACAAGTGTATATTAATTACATCTCTCGCCGTTTGTCATTTATTTATAGTGTGCAAAGCAAAAGCAGGGAACTAACTTGTGTGGCTACTACGTGTGCGAGTATTGCCACTGTCTTGCAGACCAAATCATCATCACAAGAGAGCTCGATGTACGTACAAATAAATTCAAAATTTCATTGCGTATGTATCGATTTTTTGTTTAATTACTAATTAATTTCATACATTCATATAGTTTATTCGCATGAGGGATAACCTGATCACACACAAGGAATTTATCGCGGCGGTTCAAGAACAACTCATGGGATTCATCAACGAACAAATCCTTGATCCCAAGGGTGAATTCTACTACGACGGAAATACAATTCATAGGTCCTTAGCTTCTGAGATGACGCCTACTACTACGTCGAAATCGTAGCTAGCTAGGACATCATAATGGATTGTAATTAATACATGTCTATTTTTCTATATGCATGTACATATTTTCTTTAATATAAATATATATTTTGGTCATATATATATATATGCACATAAAATGTTAAGTGCTTTATATATATATATATATATATATATATATATATATATATATATATATAAACCATGCAGCAACAGGGCCATGCAAAAAAAAGGTCAGCTCGATCTTTAGTCCCGGTTGGTAACAGATGGCTCAGCCGGCCACGTGACTGAGCCATCTTTAGTCCCAGTTATTTCACCCAGGACTAAAGATAGCGATTTTTAGTCCCAGATTGGTAGTCTCGGTTTAAAAACCGGGACTAAAGAGAGGTTACGAACCGGGACTACAAACGCTTTCTCCACCAGTGGCCGGTACGCAGTCTGCAAGTGCAATGATGCAAACTGGAGTATACGGCATGGCATTGGGTGCGTGCTCTTTATGCCAGGAGAATGACATGCTAACAAACACAATGACCGACTTGTATTGTACCAGCAGCAGGCCAGGGCAGCCATTAATGACCGAGAGCTAATTAACAGGGCACGATGGACGATATACTCCCTCCGTTTCGTTTTATTTGACGTTTCCGACCTTTCCCTCAAAATTAAGAAAGCTGTGAAATTATATATTTGCTCCTGTGCCTTCTCCTCGTCAACACAGGAGAAATCCCAAAAAATCGAAATAATAAAAAGAAATGGAAGGAGTATATAAGTATACGCAGATCACACATGAATGATCGATGATGAATGTTTTGCTTGCTTATTGTGATACTTGTGCAAAATAATTTCTCGAGTTTGTCAAGAACTGGCCAAGATCAACCTGGTCATATATATGCACATGTCATGCGTACATCACGATACCCCAGCTCTAGGCTCTAGCTTCCACTTGATGTATATCAATCGACCTTTTGTTGGTCAAGTATATTCTACTACCTCCATATCAAAATATATCATTTTTTTACTATTCAGATTCATAGTAAAAAATACTTACATTTTGGGACGGAGGGAGTATATGTGAGGAATTACGACTACAAGAAAGATCGAGAGCATTTACCCCTGCATATATACTCCATCTAAAAAAACTTAACCCCTCATACTGTAAAGCTGTGTTTAGTTCACATCAAAATTAGAAGTTTGGTTGAAATTGAAACGATGTGATGGAAAAGTTGAAAGTTTGTGTATGTAGAAAAGTTTTGATGTGATGTAAAAGTTGGAAGGTTGAAGAATTATTTTGGAACTAAACACGGCGTAAATCCAGATTCGTTGTACTAGGAAGGATCTAACATCCTATCTTAGGTTAAGGCCCCCTTTGATTCAAAGGAAATTCATAAGAATTTTAGAGGATTTCATTACTATAGGAATTTTTCCTATATAGCCATTTGAATCAAAGGAATGGATCTTATGGAATCATATAAAAATCCCATGGATTGCCTAATGCCATACAAGTTTTGGAGGAATTCTAACATTAGGTAAAATCTCTTGGAAACTTTCCTTTGAGTCTTTATCTCTCCTCTAATTTCTGCGTTTTTTCCGTGGTCAAATCAAACGGTCATTCCTCTGTTTTTCCTATGTTTTGCAATCCTCTGTTTTACACTTACATTCCTATAAAAATCTGCGTTTTTTCTATTTCTATATTTTCTCATTTCTGTGATTTAAAGGGCCCTAAATTTTTATGGGACGGGGAGTATATGCATGTGTGATGATGTAATATGTGGGTTATTTGGGGCTTTGATCTAGAGATCAGAAAGCGACGTGCGATCGATCAGCTGATGGATCGACAAGAGAATCATAATTATTGGACGTGCGTGTCTCTACCTGCAACTGTAGAAATGCCCCCTGCATGCATGCCCCTCCGTGACTCTCTCTCTGCACGTACTTCTACAGTAGGGCAGTATAACATAAGTGTATATGCAGTAGCAGGCCCGGCCGGCTAATCCACCTTACGTCGGTACGGTCTCTTCATTCGTTTATTCCATTTTCATGTCGTTACAAAGCAATTGAGGTGTGGTAACAGGGTCTCGACTTA